TGCCCCCCAGGATCCCACTGGCCCTCTTGACATCTTTCCTTTAAGTGCTGTTAAAGTGGCTCTAAATGAGCAATTTTGAGGTTGACTCTGCATATCAAAATGACCATAAAATGATATTTTTACATGTAATATCACATGCTTAAGGCATCAATATAAATACACGCGGTCTGGCTTTTCCGTGCAGGAAGCAACACCTGCATCAAGTAGAGACAGCGATAATCATCTCTCCTGAAACCAGCTTTGTGAACAGGGAGGACAAACAGGGCCCAATTCCTTTGGATTTGTCACCAGAGGAACAAATACATTCCGACGGCCAGTTCTTAGAGCTGAAGCACAAATACTTGTGTGTGTGTGACGAGAGATGTGGGACAGCTACAGCCCCTTCTAAACCTCGCAGCCCGAGCCTCGCTTCATGTCAGGTACTCACTTTCTTTTCTGCTGGACTGACAAGTTTTCTCTCGCCGTGAGTATTTTTGAACCAAATTGGAGCGTGCTCTTCGCAGATCTCCTCGTCTGAAGAGGCAAAAAACTTTTCAAGGGTCTGTGAGACTGTTTTCCCTCTGACGAACAGAGACTGTCCGTCGCGGTTCTGGAGAAGGAAACTGATGGAGTAAACGGACAACTTGGAGAGGTTCAGCTTGCCTTTTTCTTTAAAGCTGTGCCACAGATGATGAAAAAAAACCAACAGAGAAGTGTTGAAACACATGTGACAAACCTACTGGAAAAGCAAACTCGCTTTTGCTCCTGCTGCACACTAACACTTTCAGAAGCTCTGTTTTATACACCCACTTTAACCTAGTAGTGGATTATCTTTAAAATCCATGTGTATTTATCCTGGTGGAAGCACAAACTTGCTCATCGTACAGATTTTATAGACAAGAAGTTGAGGCAGAGAGTTATTCCCATCATTCACCCCTGCACAGGCTACACCAGAGCAGGGCAACGAGTCTGTTTCTCCAGGCTCACATGATGCTCAAAACACCGGCCCATTTAATCTGAAAGAATTCAGAAATCACCAAGCACAGTCTGGCTTGAAGCAGGTGAAAGAAACACCTCCCTCCGTTATTTCTGAGTCTTCAAATCCTGGAGGCTTGCTTCAAACCCAGACTTTCCTGCTCTGTCTTTTCCCTGCTCTTAGTGAAGGAATCTAAAATCTCCACTCACTGTTTGCCGATACTTCCATATGCTAACGAATGGAAAGTCTTGCAGGTAACGTTTCTGGGGAAGACGCTTTTTCCTTTCTCTACAACAGCTTTGTTAAACGTCACATAAAGGAAATTCAGATTAGGAAACTTCTCCGCATACTTGACCAAGGTTGAGGTCTTTCCTGTACCTGAAGAACACAAGAAAGTAAAAATTAAAATATCCAAATCAGGAAAGAATGAATTAGCACACCTTGTCAGCTTTACCTTCCCGCTCCCACTGTCCTAACTGCACAGCAGGACTGTTTGCAGCTAATGGGGATTTATTCATTGACAGGCTGGAGAAATGGGCCAGTGCAAACTGCAGGAGGTTCAGCAAGTCCAACTGCAAAGTCCCAGACCTGGGTCGGGCTAATCCCGGGCACAAATACAAACTGGGCACAGAGTGGGTTGAGAGTAGCCCTGAAGAGAAGGATTTGGGGGTGTTGATAGACGAGAAGCTCAACATGAGCTGGCAGGGCGCTCAGGCAGCCCAGAAGCCAACCTTGCCCTGGGCTGCATCCCGAGGAGTGTGGTCAGCAGGGCAGGAGAGGGGATTCTCCCCCTTTGCTCTGCTCTGGTGAGAACCCACCTTGAATGCTGCGTCCAGTTCTGGTGCCCACACCATAAGAGGGACATGGAGCTGTTGGAGCGTCTTCAGAGGAGGCCACAAAGCTCACCCAGGGGCTGGAGCAGCTCTGCTGCGAGGACAGGCTGAGGGAGTTGGGGGTGTTCAGCTGGGGAAGAGCAGACTCCGGGGGCACCTTATCCCTGCCTGCAGTGCCTGAAGGGACCTACAGGGAGGCTGGGGAGGGACTTTGGACAAGAGTGTCCAGCGACAGGACAAGGGAAATGGGGGGGAAATGGATTTAATTTGAAGGAGAAAAGGTTTAGATTGGACCTTAGGAAGAAAGTCTTCAGTACGAGGATGGCAAGATTCTAGAATAGATTGCCCAGAGAAGTTGTGGATGGCGCCTCCCTGGAGATGTTCAAGGCCAGGGTGGATGAGGCCGTGAGCAACCTGGGCTGGTTCAGGGCGTCCCTGCCCATGGCAGGGGGTGGATTAGACCGTCTCTAAGGTCCCTTCCAGCCTAGGACATTCTAGGATTCTATGATTCAACTGAAACCAGTGGAAGCTATGGAGCAAAGCAGCTTTGAAAAATTATAGTCTGCAGCCTAAAAGCTTAAAAAAAACTATTTTATCACCCAGTACTCTAGAAGCCTGAGCAAAGATGAAGGTACTGGTTCTCTTGAAGGACATCTTGCTAAGTGAAATGTTAAAATTGTTGTTCTGAATCATTCACTCCTGGTTTCTCTGCCTCCTCCCTGAGGAATGGGGGTTGTGGTCAGTTCCTCACACGTTATCTCTGTTGCTTCTTCCTCCTCACACTCTTCCTCTGCTCCACCGTGAGTTCCCTCCCACAGAAGACAGTCCTCCACAAACTTCTCCAACATGAGTCCTTCCCACAGACCGCAGTTCTTCATAAACTGCCCCAGCATGGGTGCCTTCACGGGGTGCAGTCCTTCAGGAGCAGACTTCTCCAGCGTGAGTCCCCTGCGGGGTCACACGTCTTATCAGCAAACCTGTTCCGACGTGGGCTCCTCTCTCCGCAGGTCCTGCCAGGAGCCTGCTCCAGCACAGGCTTCCCACGGGGTCACAGCCTCCTTCTGGTATCCACCTGCTCCAGCGTGGGGTCCTCTAGGGGCTGCAGGCGGGTTATGTGTTCCACATCCTGGATCTCCACCACGTCTCACTGTGGTCTTCATCAGGTGCTGCAGGGAAATCTCTGCTCCTGCACCTGGAGCACCTCCTCCTCCTCCTTCTTCAAGGACCTTGGTGTCTGCATCTCTCACGTATTCTCACTCCTCTCTCCATGGCTGAGTTTTTTTTCCCCCCCTTTTTTTAAATATGTCATCCTAGAGGCTCTACCACTGTAGCTGGCTGGCTCAGCCTTGGCCAGCAGCTTTACCCGACACAGGGGCTGCTTCTAGCAGCTTCTCTCAGAAGCCAGCCCTGTGGCCCCTCTGCTACCAAAACCTTGCCACACAAACCCAGTACACCCAGTAGAGACGCCGGGCTCGCTGGTGGATTGGTCCAACATCTCTCTATAACTCCACTGCCAGAGGAGCTTTCAGCAAGAGGTCAGGCTCAGCTCCTGGTACGGCTGCTTCGCCCTTAAATTCCTAAACACGTCCCTGGTGATGCCGTCCAGATCATGAAACGACACAGCCCATTTCATCTAAAACCTTTCCCACGTGAATGTGAGACCAACCCTCTGGCAGAACCCCTACAGAGAAGGATCCTGAAGCTGGTCCTTTCCAAGACCCTCAGCGAGGAACACAAAAGCAGAAACACATTTAGCTTTTCTGCCACCACGCTGTGCGCTCTGAGGCACTCTTTACACCCCGGTTAGCTTTGAAAAGCTTCCTCATCCATGTGTTTAAAGATTACAAGTCTTTTACACTTTCTGCAAGCGGTTTCTCAAACCTTCCTTCCTCCTTGCCTCGTTGCGGTTACACGTAGACTCTCAGAGTTCACGAATGTTCCCTTTTCTGTCGTTTGGACACGGTGACTTTGCACAGACATCAGAAACCACTATTGATTAAGGCCCTGGCATTCACACAGAAGACGCAGAGAGGAAAGAGGCAGAATTAGAGGCTGTGCAGTCATTCTCACAAGGTCATTTTTGGCTCTTACCTGCAAATGCCATAATTTTCACTACTTGACCACGCTCAATTTTGTGATTCAAAATCCTTTGCTGTTCATGGGTCAGGTTTACTTCAGGCCAGCTGCTAAAAACAGGGAGGGAAAAAAAGTGTGAAAGGAATTAAGACAATAAATCCTCTCACTTAAAACAAACAAACTGACTAACAGCGGAAGGAAACCAATGAACGATTGATCCCATCCCACAAGCAGGAAGGTGGCACTAGAGCAACTTGTTTATTGGGCCAATGAGATAAGCAGGAAGTAAGAAAAGATTGGAGATAGCAAAAATAAAAAGTAAACCTTGGGGAAGGTTACATAGGAAAAGATCTCGAAGGACCTACACCATGCTTTAAAAACGAATTTGGTACTCCTGCTCTTTAAGCTTATTGGAAATAAAGAGCAATTTGGGGTGTTTCGTTGCTTTTGAGAGCATGCACCTTAAATTGCTCTTCGATTTCACAGCACGTAAGAGAGACCAATTATCCCTGCCTCTGGGTGGGAGGTGCTGAGAGCTGTGATTAAGAAAAGGCATTTTCAGCGCTTCCAGCTTGAGTGCGATTGTTTTATTCGTAAAGGGCTGGAACCTGTAATCAGCCAACAGTGTGAAGCAGCTCTTCGCAGAGCTTCCTCCCTGATGCCACGCAGAAGGGCAGAAAGCCTCATTTAAGCTTCCTTGACGTTTCACAGCTGGCAGTTCGAAGCCTGCCCGCCCCGACGCATTTTTTACCAAACAAGCAAAATCTGCTTAGGAAAAGACTTCAAATGGAGGGGGTAGGATGAAAAGAAGCGCTGCAACCCAATATCCGTTTACCTTACTGATTTTTGTTGTTGTTGTTGTGACTTCTCCTGCTGTTGCACCTCAGCTCATCAGTGATTTTTTGCGATTTATCTTTGTTAGAGCTCTGTGCTGGATGAAAGCACAACTATTGTCCTTCTGCAGTTAAGGACAAGGAGATGAAATGACTCAACCCAGGGCAACTGCAGCAGAAGGGGAATCTCTACAGCCCAGGAAAGTGTTTTAATCCTTATTGTACTTCTTTTCCAGGCAGCAAACCACCAATCAATGCTAATTTATAACAGATATATATATATGTACATATGTATATATATGTATATATATCAGTTATCCAACAGGATCCAGAAAACAGGAGCCAAACAAGAGCCAAATCTGTATCTCCTTTCCTCTCATGCACAGAAAGCAGCATTTCACAAAGGAATAGCCTCGTTATTTGTGCTGAAGTGACCAGTAAGCAGACCCCTGATTTGGGCAGCAGAAAGGGAATCAAGACTGGATCTCTACAGCCCAGGAAAGTGGTTTAATTCTTATTGTACTTCTTTTCTAGGCAGCAAACCACCAACCAATGTTAATTTATAACAGATATATATATGTACATATGTATCTATAACAGCTATCCAACAGGATCCAGAAAACAGGAGCCAAACAAGAGCCAAATCTGTATCTCCTTTCCTCTCATGCACAGAAAGCAGCATTTCACAAAGGAATAGCCTCGTTATTTGTGCTGAAGTGACCAGTAAGCAGACCCCTGATTTGGCTGATTGCAGCTTGTGCTTTTAGAGGAACATGCCGTTAAAATGAAAGCAGGCGCTCTCCTCACCTTCCAGAGCTCCTTATCCATCGGGAGAACAGTGTTTTAGGAAGGGGTTTTTTGAGATGATTCGGGCTCTGCGAAATTTCAGAGGCTGTCACAGAACTGTGTTCCACTGCTACACAGACCTATCAGTGAATAATGACTTTTAAATTCAGTCAGTGCTGGATAATTCAATTTCTAACAGATTTAAGGCCTGATTCTGGTTTTCCTATGAGAATTCAGAGAGTATACAGCAAGGAGCAGAACAAGGTTTTGTACTCATCCTCTCAAGAGTCTTGTCAGCTAGCCCCTGCCATGAAACATTTGCTCCCCCTCCAAGGTCCAGCATCGTTCGGATCACCTACGACAGCACTACCTGGACCATAAGTCTTGTCTGCAGCGTGAAACTGGTATTTCCTCTTCTGCGGTCTGCACAGGTGCAGAAGCATTTTCCATCAGATACAGGGAGTAGAAAATATTGTAATGGATCCTGGTAAAAAGGACAAAACAGGAATCATCACTGAGAAATCCTCGATGATAAATTAAACGCCTGAGTTTAACATCTTGATCGCTTCCAACAGAATGATGCACAAAGCCCCAAGGGCTCAGGGAGTTGCAGGAGACAGCATTAATGGTTTAAAGTGCAGTAAGTTCTACCCTAAAAAGTGACTACAAAGGCACCACGGGGACAGCTCTGCTGGTGGCTTCTCCTGCTGGGTTTGTGTTTCAGGGTCTGCCATGCAAACATGACCTGGGATCGGAATCCACTGGATCCCTTCGCTCTCCTGACCCACTACTAGGAACAGAGTCTTGGCCAATCCGGGAGAGAATCTGGGGCTAGTTTAGGCCACTAAAGTGAACCAGTTTCATCAGCTGCCTTAGGATGACTTCATACCAGCGTGTTAGCGCTGGCAATAGTTTGTGGTGCTTTTTCACTGCAAAGAGAGGAGCATAGTGCCTCAGCAGCTTTGATTATGACAACAGCTGGTTTAAAATAACTTTCACCATAGGTCAGGGTTGACACTACTGTGGTTTTACCTTTTTCAGTGCAGCTTTGGTCCTGTGACCTAACAGCTGCCACCCCAAGTCATGCTCCAGGGGAAACTTTGTGTTTCAGGCTCAGACTCACTCGTTGCTCTAGGAGCTGCAAACAGGTACCAGACGGTTCCTCGAGGACATGTTTCTTCCTTACACCCTAAATTATAAACTCTTGTGGGATTTGAAGAGACAACAGTGGAAGAGATGTGGTCATTCCTATTTCTTCTAGTCTAGATTGTTCAGGGAGGTGGAGATGGGACGTGGATGACTTTGACCACAAGCTGTCATTGCCAGCAAGTGACACTCTGTCTGCCAAGTCTTTAACAGGCATTTACTCAAGTTAATGACCTTATCCACCAATTATCAATCACTAACAGCTCAAAGAGGCATCCCTGGTTGTTAGCCTAAGCACATGGCCTGTGGTTGAGTAAGCAGAGGATGAACCCTTCTCGTGTGTGCAAGCCAGGCTGGATTGTATCTCACAGAGGGTACCTTACAGAACCACCTTTCCAGCTACAGATTAATCTTCCAGTGCATTTCCTTTCCAGTCTTCTCACAAGAAGAATTTACACGTGTCCTTAACTCACCCTCGCTGCAATTCTGAAGCAACCTGTGGGCTCTGACCTGCATTACCAGGCACCTCTGTGAACAAAAGGCAGAGGATCGATGCAGCAGGGGCCCACAGGACTTGAAGCATCGTGTAAGAGGAGCAGAGTAATTAACCAGTCTCAAGAAGGTAATAACCACATTAAATTGCTGCAGCTGATGTGTATCTATTTCTAATCAGAAAGTTTCTATAGCTGCTTTAAAACTTGCTTTTGCTTCTGGAGAAAAGTATTCTTCCTGAACGCTGTCTCCTGAAAAACAAGTGGATGACGAAACACTCCAGGAATTAAATCTAAAAGCAACGCTCCTGAATGTTCCTGCAAAAACCCGGGGATGTGCACGTTGCTCCTGACGAACTGCACACTCTGAGGAACAACCACAGAATCACAGAATGTCGGGGGTTGGAAGGGACCTCAAAAGACCATCTAGTCCAGCCCCCCTGCCAGAGCAGGATCACCTACAGTAGATCACACAGGAACACGTCCAGGTGGGTTTGGAATGTCTCCAAGGAAGGAGACTCCACACCCTCCCTGAGCAGCCTGGGCCAGGGCTCTGTCACCCTCACAGGGAAAAAGCTTTTCCTAATATTTTTGTGGAACCTTCTATGTTCCAGCTTGTAGCCATTACCCCTTGTCCTGTCATTGGACGTCACCGAAAAGAGCCTGGCTCTGTCCTCCTGACATTCCCCTTGATGTATTTATAAACACTAATAAGGTCACCCCTCAGCCTCCTCTTCTCCAGCTGCAGAGCCCCAGCTCCTTCAGCCTTTCCTCCCCAGGGAGATGTTCCTTTCCTCATCAGAGAGATGTTCCACTCCCCCCCCATCCCCCCTGGGGCTGCGCTGGACGCTCTCCAGCCGTTCCCTGTCCCTCTGGAGCTGAGGGGCCCAGAACTGGACACAAGATTCCAGATGTGGCCTCACCGGGGCAGAGCAGAGGGACAGGAGGACCTCTCTCAATCTACTAGCTAGCCCCCCTTCTAATACAGGATGCCATTGGCCTTCTTGGCAACCAACAGGAACATAACTGCTCCTGAGCATGTGTTCACTGTATAGATTACATATTGCCAGGGCTAGAAAGAGGCAGGCAGGGAGGTTGTTACCTGTTAGTGATCGCGATGTCCCTGTCTCTCATGGCGTACAGCAGCGTTGCGATGCAGTAAAGCGTCTCGGTCACGTCCACAAGAGAGAGGGTAGAGGAAGGTCTCTGCAGACACGTCATCAACTTTTGGATGTCGCCCACGCCATCGGAGAAAAGCACCATGACTGCAATTATGGCCCACACGCTCTCAAGCTGGTAGAGGCAACAAGGAGAAAGAGTGAGCAAAAAGGCAGGGAGACCCTGCTTCAACGCTGAAAAACCACTTGTGACACCAGGAATAGTTAAATCCTCTTCAGTCAACCTGAACGGTACCCCAAAGGGAAAACCTTCAGACACAGAAGGGCAGATCTGAACCTCAGAGCACCAGCTGTTGTTAAATCTGTTAAAGAAACCACTTGACAATGGTTAAACTCACCTCCATCCCGCTCTGTAAATGTGGCAGTTTGTTGAAAACGCAGACTTCAGCCTTTGAGAAGAGGTGATGACTCTTCAAACACCGAAGAATGGCGTTGGGATCTAGATTCCGACCAGTGGGCATGGCAGACACGCACCTGTGCAGAACGGGAATGGCAGCATTTGCAAAGAAGCTTAATCGAGTGAGTTTACTCACTGAGTAAATAATGCTTTCTCCAAAGTACTGTCAGTGAGGCTGCAGCAAGGTCAACCATGATTTTGCTGCGTGCCTCACGGATTTCCAACCCATTCTTTGTGCCAAAAGCTATTTAGATGGAGAATTTCCAGTTCTGTCATATAGATGCGTGCTGAAACGCTTTGCTGCATCAAGACCTCCGTCTGCAAGTTCCTTCTGGCTGTCTCCAAGTCTCCCTCAAGATGTACTTAAAGAGTTATAGAATCATTAGGGTTGGAAAAGACCTCTAAGATCACCTATTCCAACTGTCAACCCAACACTACCATGACCACTAAACTAACCCAACGTGACGTGACTTTTCTATTTGCATCATCTGTCATGCAAAATTGCTCTCCAGACTGGAGATCTGAACAGAACACTTGCTCTTATCAGGGACCTCGCTTGGGGTTGGCCCTGCTGCTGAGCTGCCACTGAAGAGTCAGCGTGGGTCCAGGAAAGAAGCCTTTCAAGAAAGGAGAAGAAGAAAATACATTGGAGATGGGATGGACCAGGAAGAAGAGTTCAAATCTCACACCCTCCGCGAGATACCTGTGTTTTACCTAAATCCTCTCTGAGACCCTGGCTGATCAGGAGATGGAAAAACAGAGCTGATGTGACAGATCCTGGAGCCGAAAAGAAGGCTAAAAAGGATGCTTAACCTGAGTCTCACACTCTCCAGCACAGTCACCCTGCAGGCAACAACCACAAAACTCCTCCCAAGCTTGCTGTCAGGTGTCAGAAGGCAGCAGGGGACACGACAGTCCAGCCTTCTTTTGGTTTTGTCATCTAATGCTTGTCTTGGAGATCCTGGCAGTTTCTTTCAGTTGCTGTTCCCAACCTGGAAGTGCTCTGACATACAGATGTATCTCTGAAACCTTCCTCTGAGCCTCCAAATGCAGCAGCTGCTTGCTGACACCCTCTTGCTCGGGCTGTCCTCAAGTCACTTCTTTCCTCCTTTGGTGCAACAACCACCTTCCTGCCCTCCAAGATGCAACACCACCCAAGCCAAAAGGCCAGCATCAAGGCTGTTCTCCCACCCCCTCTTCCAAGTCCACGTTCAGCTTCTCCATCTCCTCAGACATCTGTACAAGGCTATCACTACCGCAGGTTTGCAGCCTCTCCCTCACCCACCCATCACTCTCACTTGCTAAAAAAATCCCTGAACCTGCAGGACGGACTTTGGAAGCCAATTGCTCAAAGCAGGGACAACTTTAGGGTTTGGTCATTTGTCCAGTTGAAGCCCAAGCATCTCCCAAGGATGGAGATTCTCCACCTCTGTGGGGAAGCGTTAGACCACTCTTAATATTTAACTGGATTTCCTATGCTGGAACTTGTAGCCATTGACTCTTGTCCTTTCACTGTGCACCTCCAAAATGAGTCTGGCACCACGCTCACCTACAGCTCCTCATTAGGCAGGGGAAAGCAGCAATTAGATCTCCAGATTTCATTCCCTAGTTGTACATCACCTCAAATCCCATGCTCAGTTTTGAGGCCCTCACGACAAGAAAGACATAGAGGTGCTGGAGTGTGCCTAGGGGAGACCTTCTCACTCTCTACAACTCCCAAAAGGAGGTTGTAGCGAGGTGAGGTCGGTCTCTTCTCCCATGGAACAGATGATAAGACAAGAGGAAACAGCCTCAAGTTGCACCAGAGGAGGTTTAGGTTGGATATTAAGAAATAATTCTTCACTGAAAGGGTGGTGAAGCCCTGGCACAGGCTGCCCAGGGCAGGGGTGGAGTCCCCATCCCTGGAGGGATTTAAAATCCAGGTAGATGTGGTGCTCAGGGACACGGGTCGGTGGTGGGGCTGGCCGTGCTGGGTTAATGGTTGGACTCGATGATCTTAAAGACCTTTTCCAACCAAAATGATTCTATGATCATGTGCTCCAAGCACAACAAGGCAGATGAAAGGGAAAGTTTTTTACTTATTTCTAGAACTCTACCAGTGATTTCTATCATTAAAATAATATCTCCTTCCTCATCTTCCTGTACGTCTCCCACCTATTCAGAAGACAAACCCATCTCTCTCCTGGCAATTCACCGGATAAAATGGAAGAAGATCCAAAACAAGGATGTTCAGAAGATCTACAGGTACAGAGTCAAGTGCTGAAGTGGACTCACCTGACCAGCCCCAACACACATCCTTCCTGCTCCTTTTTTATGGCGAAATCCCACGAGATCTGTTCAACTCTGCGCAGGGCTGCGTCCTCCTTCATGAGGTACCGATGGTACAGCTTCTTCCAAGGAATGAACTAGAATATGAAGCACATACCATCATCTTTCATCTCTCAGCACTGGAAAACAGGTTTCTTCTGGCAAGAAGCTAATCAAAGAGGCCTCTGAAGAAGACCTGGATTTCAAAAACTCCCTGTAGTTTGATAGAAACAGGTACCGAGCAAGAGATGGCAAAGGAAAGAGGAAATAGAGGCAAGGGAGAAAGGCTTGTTCCTCACTGCCTGCAAACTTGTCTTTAAAAGACTGATTTTTCTAGAATGATGGGAATAGGGTGATGCTTGTTCAGTTTCAAATGCCAAAACGTTAAAGGAACAGGGATATTTTCAGCATTTTTGCACGGATCTGGTCTGAGTGCTTAAAATCCGCGTGTCCCTGAAGCCCTATCCTCCCACAGCCTGTCTGGACTTCTTGGGTGAAAAAAGACCCCTCTTAGGCAGTGTTATGGAGACAAAAGCAGATTTGGCAGAGGACCTTAGCACACTGAGCATCCCATGCATGAATCTTTTACGCACCTCTCCAGCTCTTCAGGCTCAAAGCACGCATGTTGCACCGATAAAGTAGGTGCAGGGCACCTTCCCCATCATTTCCAGCCTCACCTGTCCAAATTCATGAACAAGAACATGGAATCCCACAAAAATTTGGGCTGTGATTGGTCCCCCACTGCTTTGAGAGAGCCCCTTTGTACAAGCTGAGTGTTTCCAACACTGACACACACACAAAGGCTGGGCAACGGCAGCTTACACTGGCCACGAGAAGACACTGCCCAGTCTGGTCAGTCAGAATTTTGTGCATGATCCCTGTCAGACAAAAAGGCTGCAAGGAAAATAGTGAAGGGAGGGGCTGTGGGTCTTAGAGGATGCTCTCTTGCCATGTATGGGAAGAATGCATTGAAGGAAATTACTCCAATAATGATCTTTTTATACAAGTTGGTATCTGAAGATGCCTCTGCAGTCCAGAAGACCAAAAAATGACACAGAACACTTCACAAGAAACAACGTGGGCATTAGTGAACAATAGTGGGATTTAAAGTAGCAAAGAGAGGCAGACACAGCACGCACGCTCCTACAGCAACACGTGCAGCCACAGGACAAAGACCGAGCAGAGCAGCTGGAGAAGGGACAGGCTCAAATCCCTGTTCCAGCAGTCCTCACCAATGGATCGCTGACTATCTCCTTCCAGCAGCGACACACCAGGCTCAGGTTCTGATAGAGATCGGTCACCGGGAGGAAAGCAAAGATGTTCCTAAGGACTTCAACAGGCAGCTCGTTGATACTTCCCTGAGGCACTTCCCAGTTCCGAGTCCCCAGGAGTCCATAGTGGGCATCAGGGACCGGTTCAATCTCCATATCATCAAGTTCCTGCTTAATGTGGCCGCCTTCCTGCTTGATCTGACTGTGTTCTGGAGGAACAACCATTGGCTTCTTCTCAGGCTCACCCCACAAATCATGCTCTGGCTTGCGAATGCCTGCGGCTGCAGCGGACAGAGGCCGTTTTCTGGAGCTTTCCTTGGGAGCTGGTACCAATTCCTCATCCTCCAGAAAAGAGAAGAAATCATTGCTGGTCTCCGTCATGCTGGATTCACGGCTGAAGGAATTGTGAGGTTCAGCGAAGACAGGATCCAGCAGCTCTTCTTTGATTCTACTGTTCTTCATCCCACCAGCACCTCCTGGTTGTACCTGAGAGATCCTGAAGTAATGGGTGATGTTCCTCTGCTGACTGTGTCCTGCAGAAAGAGGAAGAGCAGGAGTGAAGTCAACAGAAACAAGCGTGAGCTCCCGAGCTAAAAAGGGGTCCAGAGGTTGTGTAAGGCGGTAGTTATTTCCACAGGGTTTCCCCCCAGATGTATGACCTTACTACAGGTGAACTGTCTTGCTTCACTAGCAACCTACAGAAGTCAACAGAACATTCATCTCTCTGCTCTGCCTTTAAGAGGATAAACAGCCAGATACTTCCTGGCTGCAACGTCAAAAAACATTGGAGACCATAAAGGAAACCGAAACTTGGCCGCAGAGCACACAGACTAAACTTAGCAGCGCTGATTCATTCTGTCCAGCATTCATTCTGTCCAGCTCCTAGCCTGCACCATATCCTGATTCTTAGCTAAGAGTAAACTCGAGAAGGACAAAATCACAAGCAGCTCCTGCTGATTTTAAGGCGTTTTATTTCTGGCTGCTCAGGCAAGCGCAGCTCCAAGAGCTCTGATTTGTAAGATGCTGTTTAAAAAGAACAACTCCCCTGCTAATGTCCAATACCTTAAAACCTGCAGCATCTAAGATCACTAGATTTTTGAAAACGCAATAGTCAAAGATATCACTGATATGAAAATGAAAAAGAAAAGTATGTCTACGAGCACAGAGTCTAGGATTCTCGTGTCTTGTCCTGTCTCATCAGCAGGTGGTCTCTGTGAAGCGATTCAGATCCCACCCAGGTAAAGTGAGATTCCCAAGGCAGCCAGGGAAACACCAAAATGCTCCTAAATCTCACCTTCCACTCAGGAGTAACTCCAGATATTTTTTCTTTGCTTTCTACCTGTCTCCTCACCTACACAGGTGTGTAACCTCTCTCATCATTCCCCACGTTTTGAGGCTGGGCCTTTAACCCTGCACCGTGAGCAATCTGAAAACAGCTGTTTCCCCTTCAGTTGAGCCCTGAGCCTTGTCATGTGCTGATTAGCATAAAAGTCAATCAATCGATCAATCAACTAATCAAATCAATCCTCAAAAGTCCTCTATGGGCTTTGGCACTTTTGAGACCCACATCTACGAATTGTACATCACGATGCTTCCCAGGAACGTTGGAGATCTTTGATACCTGTTAAGTGCTCAACAATATTTTTGCAGTCCTATAGAACTAGACCGCTCGGTGTTATTTAAATTATTATTTAATAATTATCCCAAGAAGCAGGAGTCCCATCATTAAGAGTGCCTCATCTCAGAGGCTGCAGTGTTCCTTGGGGAGAGCTGCCATTTTCCCCAAAAGCTCAGTGATAGACACATCGGCACTTCTGGCGTGAGGAGAGCCTGAACACACATGCGAAGGCAAAATCGCACCCACAGAGAGAGAAACAGTCAAGGTGTCTCTTTTTTCTTGCCACTTGGCTTCCTGGAGGCAGAGATTAAGCCCAGTTTTGCCGTGCACCGCTCAAAACTGCGTTTTTCTCCCCCAAAATCTCTCAGCCTTCCAGATATTCCAAATCAGGGTACCTCTTCGATGTCTCCGTGTCTGGTGCGTGGGCTGGAGGCCCCTGTTCACATCTCCTCTACTTTGCCTTTGACTCAGCGGCTGCGTCAGGGAGGATGAACCTTCTGGGCTCTGTGCAAGAGCTTCGCAGTCATCGGCTGTGAGGCAAACTTTTTTGAAGCCCTTCACTGCTTTACCAACACGCCAAAAGACAAAAGGCACCAAAACCAAAGTGTTAGCAAACAACAACGTGCAGTCCAGGCCTTTAACAGAGGCGTAAGCTCACAATTCATTTTCAAAAGTTTTATATAGGACAGCGCCAGCGTTTCAGGCAGGAGTTTCTCTGAATAAATCATGGCAGAAGCTTGTACAACAGTCTGGTGAGACGCTAAGGAGGGCGACGCATCATATCTGCAGCCACTGCAACAGCAACTGCACCCCAGGTCCATGCTTCTGCGTCGTACGATGCTTCGGAATAAAATAGGAAAACACAAAAGCAGAACCCTCGCAAGTTTTGTGGCTTTCCTTGCAATACCGTAATGTGGAGGAAGCAGATTAAAGCATTTGTGTCTGTGCAAAGCACCATCATGTCGAGGAAGCCTGTGGAGGCTGAAGTGAGCAACCCCCCGCGAGAAACGACAGCGATTTGCCCTGGGAAGGTCAGAGCCGACATTCCAGCACACAAATTCAAGCCTTTCGCAGACAGATCCAAGCCAGGATCCTCCATTAAGGAGGGAACACAACCCACTTGCAGAACAGCTCTTCCCCACAAGGACGGTTAAGCAGCAGCACAAAATAATCTAAAGTGTTATTTTAAGGAAAACTTACTTGAAATCCGCGTGAGCTCCATTCTTCCGTATGCAGAGGGCCAGCGGAAAAAGTACAAACAATGCAACTCGCTGTCGAGGAAGTGGAAAACAGTGCAAGATGGGCTTTCTTCTGATAGGAGAATTATCAGGAAACACCACTCGTGCAATTTCACTTTTGCTCTATCACTGTGCCGCTCCACGGAAGATAAACTCTTCTAACATGTTTATGGCAGCCACAGAAATAAACCCGGACAGCTTGATCCGTGAGGCGGTTTGTTACAATTACTGCTTCCTCCTTTTCATCTGCGTCAGCTCGACGGAGCACTAACTGTGCTCCCCGGGGAGGCTGTTTTCTGGCATCCCATGTTCCTCAAAAAACAGCAAATGAGGCAAGCGGAAGGAAAAAAGACAGTCCCATGGTGCTCAGGGACAGGGTTTAGTGGTGGACGTGATCTTAAAGGTCTTTTCCGACTCAAATGATTCTACGATTCTAGGGTCTACTCGATGATTCTACTTAAAAATGGTATTTC